GACCCAGAATGAGTCTAAAGACCCAGAATGAGTCTGTAGGATCCAGAATGAGTCTGTAGGACCCAGAATGACTCTAAAGACCCAGAATGAGCCTGTATGACCCAGAAGGAGTCAGTAGGACCCAGAATGAGCCTGTAGGACCCAGAATACTTAAGAGCTAAACTAGAAAGACTTGTGGTGGAGCTTTGGTTGGAGCCGGTTCCAGAACGGGTCAGCAGATCTCAGCAGGTAGGTGAGAGCTGCTGGTAGCAGCTGGATTCCCCAAACATCAGACTGGGAGGGACTGGGAGTTCTAGAAGGAGCTTCTGTGGATCACTGGAGGAGGATGAGGGGGCACCAGAGGTGGGGCACATCTGGAGGAAAACGCTTACAAACGCTTCAGTCAAACCCAGAAACTCGAGGAAATGTGTCAAGTGTCCGTAAACCACCAGAAAGTTCCCCATAAATCACCTAAAGGACGGAAACCGGCTCCCTCAGACAGGAGGGAGCAGCTGCAGCTGGATGGCTGCAGTGCCCCCCTCCGCCACCAGAGGGAGTCTGACAGCCTGTCTTAACAGCTGCCAGTCTGACGGACCAATCAGAGGCCTGGATGCAGGAACTAACGAGGAGACGCCTGCAGTTTCACTGAGTGTGTGTTGGAGCCTTTATGTGTCCAGGCTGCAAAAACCGGAAGAAATGTAGTAAAAAGACAACCAGAACCATTTAAAAAAGAAATGTGTGGACTTTATTTAATATTATGGAGCAGTCACACTGATTCAGTAACAGAACAAAACAGAAACCAGAGAAAAAGCTCCAGTCTGTGATAAAAACACTCAGGATAACAGGGCGCCTCCAGGGACAAAGATCAGAATTAACATACACACAGATGAAAGTAAAATATCTTCCACTAGACTGAAAAGCTCCCTGGAGGGGCCACAAACAAAAAGGAGGCAGCAGGAGGCCCCCATCTACACGCTTAGATGGTCTGAGGAGCAGAAACAGGAGGACTCAGACCGGCTTTGGTTCCGTTTGGTCCACCGGAAGATGCTGCGAGTTCCTCTGTAAACAGGCACGTTTTCTGTAACAGATCCAAGCAGCAACACCAACAACTAATACACAGAGCACAGAAAGTACTGTAAGGCCAACGATCAGACCCAAAGATCCTCCCTCCTCGGCTCCTCCCTCCTTGCCTCTTCTCCCCTTGCCTCCTCCCTCCTGGGTCCCTGCAGGAGAGAAGCAGGTGTGAGTGTCAGCTGTCTGATCTGAGATGTTTCCCTCTCACACCAACAAGCAGGAAGCTGCTGCAGCTCTCACGCGCACGCACGCACGCACGCACGCACGCACTCACTCACTCACTCACTCACTCACTCACTCACTCACTCACTCACTCACCTGGAGGAGAAACCACAAGATGGATGATGGTTTTGAAGGTGTACCTCCTCTGGCCTCCTCCTCCCTGAGTGACTCTACACTCATATGTTCCTGCATCATTTATCGTCACGTTCTTCAGAATCACAGACGGGTCTCCATCCTTCATCTGTCTGTCCTGCAGATCCACCCGGTTCATGAAGGATGGATGCTGGCCTTCTGACTCTAAGCGACCATTTCTGAACAAAAGAACATAATCTGGATCCAGATCATTTCTGCTCCACTCCACAGCTGTGATGTTTTTCTCCTTTCGAGTTGCACATGGCAGAATGACTGAGTCCTGTCCAGCTTCAGCTCTGATTCTCAGTCCTGCAGAGAGGAAACAACACAGAGCAGAGAGGTTAAAGAGCTCAGAGTGGAGCTCTGCACCTCCACAGCAGAACCAGAGGAGGACACAGAGCTCATACTCCCACAGCTCAACTCTCTGAGGACTTCCGGGACTGACGGGAACCACGTGACCTCTAAAATGTATAATATTTATATATATTTACAACTGTAGTAAAGACACTCCACAGTTTCTGAGGACCTGGAAACCATCATGGCCGAGTTTTATGTTAAACTTGTTCAAATCTGAACTTTAAGGTCTTCGGGAACCGTTACCGTAACTGTTCTACTGAATGCGCAGCAACAACACGGGGCGCGGCTGTTTTCCTTTTTCTGAGGATTTCAGAGGCTGATAAGTGAAGGTGACCGTACAGGTGTGGTCACCTGGGCTTCACAAGACATTTACATCCGTTAGAAAGCAGTGGAATCTGGGTTTCGAAAGAAGCTAACCGAAAAACAACCAGATCTGTTTCGGCCGCCGCAGGAACCAAAGTTTCCAGTTTAGCTCAACACAAACTGAGTTTATCTCCCCGGCGAAAGCTCACCTGTATCCGCTGACACCGAGCCGAAGGCCAGCAGACTCAGACAGAGGAACAAAGACAGTAAACACACCATTTAATCACAAAGCTCAAACCGTAGACATATAGACGTATATATTTCTTTTGTTCAAACTGGACGTCAGCACGTTTACGAAAACGTGATGACGTCTGATGGCCAGACGCCCCTCACAGTCAGAGGTTCGTGGTCTGATCCCGGCTGGTACCAGAACCGCGGCATTAACCCGAAATTGGCTTTAATGTAACACTAACGGAGCGTTTCTGGGCTCTGTGTCATGGACTGGTCTGCATATGGTGACACAGAACCGTTCAGCTAGCTCCATATTGTTGTTGACTGAGAGTTAGCTAGTGCACTCCTGAATGCTTTGCTAACAGATGCCGGAAGTAGAAGCTCCCTGTAGTCCTCCAATCAGGGCTTGAGTTGAATGCTGTCATGCGTAGACACACTGTTGGTCCGTTGCAGCGATACGTCATCGCGTCCGCCATCTTGGATGGCAGAACTCCCCGTAAACTAATAAAAGAAAACGGACTGAACTCCATAAAGCGCCTTTCTAAGAAGTGCTTTAAGTCAATGCACCTTATTCACCCATTCACACACACACTAATATATCTGGGAAACAAATAGGCACAAAAAAACGTTTGTAACTTTTAAAGTGATGATTATAAATTTTTACTCCTGTTTTTGGGATATAAGGAAGCACCACACCAGCGTCTGTACTTTAATGCTGAGTGTTTTCAGCCACTAATACGAGTAACTCTGTTACTGTAATATAGATATTGAAATATTGAAATTTAACATGTAAAGTTACACAGACCTGTGGGTTAGGAGATGCTAATGCTAATGCTTGTCTGGGATCGAACTTTAAAAAAAAATGGATCTGGAGTTTTGAACGACATTTTCTCATGCCGGCCAACACGATCCAAATATCGGATCGGGACAAGCCTAAAATACGGTATAAAGATCAGCGGTGCACAAGTCTTCTACTCCTGCAGCTACAGCTGCGACCCCCCAGCCCCCACCCCCCCCCAAAAAAGCAAAACACATCAATAAAATCCTCATAAACTTGCAATATTATTTGGGAAAAATTTTACTCACACTTACTTTTCTTGAAAAGTCCGTCTTGAAAATGGTCTTGACAGTAAATCCGCCACCAAATAATAAACTAGCTATTACACCAACACAACTATATTCCTGTTTGTTTGCTAGCATTGCCGCTGATTGGATATCTGACTATCCAATCAGCGGGCGTGAATACGGTGACGTTGCCTAAAGCCTTCTAGAAGGCCCTGGCATCACCAACCTAAAATCTGATTGGTTAAAGCAACAGTGTACTCGACATGTATTTTCTGTGAGGGGGGGGG